AGTACTTGATAAAAATAGCTGCGTAAACGCAAGCGAAACATAAGTGGAACCACCTATTGGTGTGACACCCAAGTCAACTTGCCAAGTTTTTATGTCAGTGTTGGTGGTTTGACCAATCAACCGACAACTGCGGTAGCAGAAATTTGGGAAGCTAACTTGAAATGCCATCGGAAAACGAATCCACATGTTTCTAGAAATGATATGAAACTGCTAAATGAATATTTTTCGGGAAAACGGAAAGTTTATCTAATTTTTTCAACAGACCTCGTATAATATACATGACATATTTTATTTTTTTTTCAGAGCTTTTTTTGAAATATACAGGGTGTTTCAAATTCGATCCTTACCATTGGAATTTCGGAAACTATGATACATACCAAGATGGTTAAATTGGGGCAAAGTTGCACATTCACCTGTCTAACAATATGCCGTTGAGAAAGTTCTAAAATTCCGAGTATATCTGAAGATGTCCATAAAAAACAGAAATTTCGGAAAATGGTTTTTATTTTTTTCTGGCTTCGTTTTTCGAAGGATTCAAAAATAAATTGCACGTCCATAATGCCACATAATGCTCGATTTCTCTGAATGAGGACAATGTCTGAAGATTTAGGGCAAAGGGCAAATTTCGGATATGCAGTTGATTAGTACTTCGTCCACTAGATGGAGAGACAATTTTGTTGTTCGCTCCAACTCAAGTCGAGGAATGAAATACTCTGAAAGAATTTCGATTTTCAATTATCGATGATGATCACTATCTTGCACTGACGAGTGGCTAAGGAGTCCGAAACCGGTCTGCAAATGTGCCCGTTCCAGAATTGAAGGTCGACTCTTCCAGTTGTATTGCCAATTGCATATGCAGAAAATTTTCTGTGAAGATTTCTGCACTGACGCCTGTCGGATATATTCCAACGCCGTTCGTGGTATTAGCCAGTGGAGTAGTTGTTTTCTGATAGTCTATGCAAAGATGGCCGACAGTGAAGTACACTATTCAGATCGGTCCCGAAAAACGTGCAATTATTGTAAAAAAAAACAAACACAGGTCTCGAATGTGATATATATGAGTCTGTATATCATAATAGCTGTACAGCAAGAGTGAAAATTTGCTGTGATGTGCCAATTATTAATCTAATAGAGCTGGATCCGATTCAGCCCAACGAATTTCTGAAAGCGGAAAATGAACTTCTGAAACAAATTATCGCTGATAAAAATACAATGTCTGTCATTAAAATGCTTAAAAAACTCAAGTACTGTATAGTTTGGAAAGCCCCGTTGAAACTAGATGAACTTTGCATCAAGTTTGACAACTTTTATTTTTCAAAATTTGTTTATTAATTGAAAGCCGAAACATGATTTTGCAAACATTAATCACTTTCGAAAATGATATTCATATGGATAGAAACAGGGTAACTATTAGGTATGATAAAAGGGTAGGTTTCTCTCCCACAATGGTGGGAGAGAAACCTAAGAGAATAACAGGCCTTTCTAAGTTTATTACATAAGTGGTCAATATGTGTCCTCCATTGAAGTTTGTCATCAAAAACAACACCTAACATTTTTGTTGAGGTTCAATTCTAAAGCAGTATCAATAAACAGATTCAACCCATAATGTTGCCCAGTAATGGGGTGACATGTTCACCATATGGTATACAGCATACGAATCGTATGCAGGCATTTTGTATACGTTGTAACTTCTGTTTGTTATATTTCGGCATAAAATTGTAATACACCGAACAACAATACTCGATATGGGGGTAAATAAGAGTTTTAACTAACCTGAGTTTCATTTCTTCTGATAACTGATACTTGAATTTATATAGCGATTTGAGTTTGAAGAATGATACTTTGAAAATGTTTGTCACATGTTCATGGAAAGACAAAGAGCTATCTATGGTTACGCCAAGATTTTTAGCACTGTCTACCCAGTCAATGTCTGCGTTATCGAGAGTGAGCCTAAAGTTACACTGAGTTTCTACTATTTGTCTTTGAGACCCTATGCATGAGGCCAAAGTTTTATTTTGATTGATTTTCAGTCCATGATTCTCCGAGTATAGGAATGTTTTGTGCAAATCTGTGTTCATATTGGCCGCCGTATATCATCTGCGTATAGATGTACTTGACAATGTGATAAGAAAGGGGGGTAATCAAAAATAAAGACTGAAAACATCAGCAGGCGCGCGTGTTAATAAAAAAAATACTTTTTTAAATAATGAAATACATGTAAAGTGAGTTCGAATTATATCAAGGAGGTTACATACAGCGCCATCTGCTCGCGAATAGATCAAGCAATAATGTCGATATATCAAGGAGGTTACACAAGTGAAGCTAATAAAAGCGTGTTAATTAATTAA